TTGTGGCTCGCAGGCTCTAGAGCCCTAGACTCAGTAGTTGTGGCGCACGGGTTTAGCTGCTCTGTCGCATGTGGGATCTTCCCGGACCAGGGCTCAAACCCGTGTCCCCTGCATTCACAGGCAGATTCTTAACCACTGGGCCATCAGGGAAGCCCTGATTCACAATTTTTAAAGGTTATACTCCATTTACAGTTATTATAAAGCATTGGCTATATTCCCCATGTTGTACAATATATCCTTGTAGTTTATTTTATTAATAGTTTGTACGTCTTACTCCCCTACCCCTATACTGCCCCTCCCCAATCCCTCTCCCCAGTGGTAATCACTAGTTTGTTCTCTATATCAGTGAGGCTTTTTCGTTTTTGTTATATTCACTAGTTTGTTGTATTTTTTCAGGTTCCACATGTAAGTGATAACATACAGTATTGTCTTTCTTTGTCTGACTTATTTCACTTAGCATAATGCCCTCCAAGTCCATCCATGTCGCTGCAAGTGGCAAATTTTTGTTCTTTTTAGTGAGACATCTATCCTTTTTAATATAGTTAATCAAAGAAGAAATGCTGAAAAGTTTGCATATTTTGATAAGCCACTTAGAATTCATGAGTAGACAAAAATGTAAAATGCTTCCTTACCATCCCAATTCCCAACACCCTACTTGCCCCCCGCTAAAAAAAATATCTATGATATGCCAAAACAGGTAGAAAGAAAAAAATCCCCTCCTCTCCTTACTCTGAATGTAAAAACCACAGGAAAAGTCGTCTCCCTACTTTTAGGGACAGGAATGGACCAATTTCCCTATTTTTACAAGTATTTGCTGAAACCACACTCTTTCCGTAGCATGAGCCAGGAACACATGATTGGCAACTACCTGCAGAGCTCTGCAGATACAGTGGTAACGCAAGTCAGCATGGGCGATACATACACGCTGAATACACGCATCGTGGTCGACACGTGGCTGACAGCACAGAAAGGAAGCACAGTGCTGCGGGCAGGTCCGCGGGCAGGTCCGCGGGCAGTTGAGCAGGCAGCACGACGCTCCTCGCTATGAAAGCACGACCCACATGCAGGAGCGCAAGGGCTAAGACTTACTGCAAAGGAACCTGAAAACTCGATAACCACCGTATGAAACCTTGGGCAAGTTTCTTAACATCTCTAAGACCCGTTTCTCATCTACAAAACGTGAATAGTAACTGCTACCTTCCTGAATTACTATAAAAAATTAAATAATATTCTAACTCACACAACAACTGACACATAAATGGCAGCTATTATGATTATTACATTCACCCGAAGTTCCTGAATCACAATGTGAGACTGGAAAGATAAAGATAAAGATGCACTCTTCAGAGAGCTGTGCGTATGAAACTGGAGGCTCACACAGCAGGTAATGTGCACACACTGGACGCACTGAACTAAATGCAGGTGCAGGGTCCCGACCACGCATGAAAACTACCAGGTGTTTACATAAGAGGTGCCCTGGAGTTGGCAATCATGAAAGCCTCTGTGGACCTTATTTCTTACGATTTTGCCTCAGCGTTTCAAATGCACTGACACTTCTTTGCAAAAGGATCTAATCTAATCACCCTTGGTCTCGCATGACCTCATCACGGACGCCTTATTTTCCTCCAGGATGCTACAGCTATGCCATACAAATTAGACTGGTGCGTACACACCTCAGTGACATTTTCCACCCACTCTGCTTGCCACATTCCCAGTGCAGCCAAATGTGGAACAGCTTCTGGACAGCTTCTTAAATGCCCTGTTCTTGCCTGACAAACGGAGCGTAGCTTCAGCACAGTCCGGCGCCAATGACTGGTTTGGACAGCCAGAGGCCAATTTTATTTTTTGTGACAGGTGCTCTATAAGGATTTTTTTCCATGAATCAATACATGAAATCAACAGTTTAAGATTATCACTTGGATTCAAGTGTCCTGATATCTCCTATGCTCAGGTTTTAGGACAACATTAAAAATTTACATCAGACGTTTAACAATCTGAATCACATTTCCCATGTAAACCTGTTTAAATCTCTTAAGGGTAGAGTCTGTAACTCAGTTAATATGTACAGTCTCTGTACAATCTAGGTCCATCTCTGTGCTTATTCTTGCACTTTCTCTACCTGGATTGCCCTTCCACAGCTACAGCCAGCCCTTCTTCTCTTCCCCTGCAGGCTCCCCCAGGAAGACAGTCGTCCCCTCCCTCTGCACTTCCCACCATACTTTTCTCCATCAACGTTTCTACCTTGTTTCCCTGCTCCTGCCCCATCTGCCCTATGTTCTTCAAGCCAGGCACCGTTCCCAGCAGGCAGGAGGAACATCTGTCCAGAGGAGGCAGGGAAAGGGCAGGTGTGCCCGGGGGTGAGACAGAATTAAAATACTTGATCAGCCTTACTTACAGAGCTAGTAGAGGAGGTGAGAACTCTTAGCCAGACTTAAGAATATTAAGCAAACAGGAAAAAAATGTGGCCATTAGAGGTCCAAGAAAGCAGGAAAACAAAAAGTTGAACAAAAAAGGAAACGTAATCACACTGAATTAACTGGCTCAACAGTGAGCAATGTTTACAAAGTCAAGAAAAATTAAAAACTAAATTATGGGTCTAAACAAAAATTGTGATTTAACTATATAGCAAAGTTGAAAATGTAACTTTTTCTAAAATTGATGCATCAGTGACTCCTGACTAGTACAGAAATATAGTTAGGAAACATGGATGCAAATGCTAAAAGAAACGTCTAAAGCAGAGGATTCCAGGGGCCTCCAGGAGGGGGGCACGAGATGCTTAAAAGATGTCTTTATTCCAAAATGGGGGTCTTCAGAGGGTCTCAAGGCAGCCTTCCTTCTGTCTACCACCTTCCCACAAACCATTAACCCTGAAAATGGTCTCCATACATATTTCAGCAACTCCGCTCCTCCAAAACTTTGCTTTGCTTTCTTAGGGTTGCGGTTGTAAACTCCTCCATCCCAAGTCCCTGCCTTCTAGCCCAACACCCCAAAACACAGCAAGAACCAAGAGCCAGCTCTGGTAAAGCAGCTTCTGGAGCAGAGCCATTCTGCAGGGGCTCAGGTGGGCCAGGGGCTTATGATGGGGCACTCAGGTAGATCCAGGGGCCTGGACCTCAGCATCACAGCTCTGGACTCACTCTGGGGGAGGCCAGAATTACTCATGTGGTCTGACTGTTTGTCTGGAGCTGGGGGAAACAATTACAGGAACACTGGTTAGAAGGTTATTTTCCTAGGCTTATATATTTTCAAACACTGGGGGAGAAAAAAAAAAAAAGAGCCAACGCAGAATCAGTAGATTATGTCTTGGTGCTAAAAGCTCCACGGAGCTGGGGCAGAGGCTCTTGGTCCATCAGGAGCTGGCCTGGCATCTCACCACCCTCCCGTCAGGCTTTTCTTCCACTGTGTATTATATCAAGAAGAAGATTTTTGAGTAACTTCTACTAAATACTGCCCCCTCATGTAACCGTCTTGTGCTGTACCAAGATGAGATATTTTTAAGCGCTAATGCTGCTGAAAAGCTACACTTGATATTCTGCCTCTTGTTTGGATCTACTAAGAGAACTTATTTTGTGCCAAGCATTAAATATTCCTTCATTCAGCATTTAGCAAAAACCACCTACAGGTCAAGCAGAAAAGATGCAGAGGTGAAATAAAATCTTTTTTATTTCGAAGACTCTAGGAAACAGACTTTCACCCAAATAAATGTTACAGTTACAGGAAGAAACATATAATCTGGACTGGGAGGAGGGAATGAAACAAGGCTGTCACCTCACGACCTGCGACACAATCACACCTGGCACAGCCATGCAGAAGAGGCTCCTCTGACAGCCAATAAAGAGCAGCAGGGATTGGAAAAACAGGAGTAAGACTTACGGGCCTTGCTAGGAAATTGAAACTGCATGACATAATTTCCCTTCCCTAATACCTAGCCTCCGTAGAAACAGAAGTGGCTTGGGAAGAAAGAGAACAAAGGAGGAAAGTGAGCTGACCTTCAGAAGGAAATGGAAAAACCACCAGGGCCCTGCCACTTGGACATCCAAGACAAGGACACTGGCCAAAGTGAAATTCAACACAGTTATAAACTGTCATGAATACTGAATCCATGAAGTCCAAGTTCATGAGGCTTTTACCGACACAACATATTGGTACAACAAAGTGCTTACCAATGCCAATACCCCAGGAGAGATGTATGAATCGTCTACCAACTGTCTGTCCTTGATTTACCACTAAACTAACCAGAAAGAGCAGTCTTTGGAAATGACAAACTGGGATAGAATCTCAAGTTTACAACTTCCCAGCGGTGGAGCATGAAACAAATTCCGAAGTTACAAATTACAAAGAGCCCAGTCTTCCTCTCATTAAAACGGGAAAACTCCCACGGAGTAACTGCTAACATTTCTGAGTGCTGAGCACCTTACACACCTCTCACCACCCTGGGAGGTGCTATCAAAACACCGTTTGTTGGATGGGAAAGCTAGGTTTAGGTAGCTAGTCAAGAGTTAGTAAGTAGCTAAGTTGCCATCTGAATCCAGAGCCCACGACAATCAGGTACCAGAGGAAAGGGCACAAGCTCTGAACCAGACTGAGTCTGAATCCCAGCTTTGCATTTGCTAGCTTAGTAACTTTTAACCTCTCTGCACTTAAGTTATGCAAACGTGAAAGAGGGGAGAGGAGAGGAGCAACCTCACTCACGGGGTTATTGTGAGGACCCATCAGCAGCTATGACTTGGTGTTTATAAGGCACCAGGCACTACTCTAAAGCATGCGATGTTACTGTTGTTGTTAATCATTATTATTACACTATCTCAGCAAAAATATATACATAGTATCTACACAGAGAAGGTACTACATAACTTCTGTTCTTTCTCTCACTTACTCTGCAAAATTCACTACCTTTTGTTAGTTTCTACTGTGTGTCAAAGAAACCCTAAGACAGGGGAAAGAAAAATCAAAGCAAAACAAAAACCAAGACACAAGTGTGGCAAGAGAATCAGACTCACAGTTCAGAAGGCCGCCATAACTCTGTGACGGAGTCAAACGATGATTTACAAATACTCCTAGCTTCTCTTTCCTCTTTCCATAGCGGTCAGAAAGAACCTGACAAGAAAAGACAACGTGTGTTTATAAAATCGTCTTCACTACCACTTCTGCAAAGCTCTATTGTGTTCATCCCCTCACAGTCAGCTTCAATACCTACCACGCATACCGTGCCAGACCTGGAATGAGGGATAAAAACATGTTATCAAGTCCCTGTCTCCAAACCTACATTCCAGTTAAGAAAATAATGTGGAAAACTGAAAACTATTAAACCATACCAAGAAGCATATATTAATGAGTCACAAAGTTAGCGAATAAGTTCAGGGTAAGATCACCAACAATATATACATCTATTTCATCCTCTCCCACCAAAACCACACTAAAGAGATATAAAAAAATTTTAAAAACAAAACATACCTCAGGCAGAACTGAAAGGAGAAAAAGAAAGGGAATTCTGGAAGCTGTGAGAAAAGTTTCTCACATGGAAGATAAAAACCAAAACAAAATAAGAAAAAAAACTTGGAGGAAACGGAAACTATGAAAGATTGTAAGCATAGTAAATGACTCAGCAGGCCAAGAAAGCCAGATGCTAAGCCAGCAGTGGAAAAAACTAAGACCCAATTCCATTTACACATCGGTATCCCAGAAGACTCAGAACTGGCAGCACCCGTGCAGCCAACTGAGGGTGAGGAAGGTGGAGGCCTAACACAGAGGAGCAGGTGAAGCTGCTTAAGCCACAGCCAGAACCTCAACACCATCTCTGACACAGACTGGACGGTCACTCCGTGGTCTCTGGACTGAAGTCCCCCTGTCCAGCTGCACTAACACAGGCGGACTTCATCAGCGTACATAACTCAACGGTGGATGCTTCAGCTTCCCACCACCCACCCACTCAGCCCCCAGAATTCTACAGATAAGAGTCTGGGGAATCTGTTCAGGCCAAGGAGAAAGACCTAAAGATACACTGGGGATTCCCCAACAAATGGTCCACCCAGAATATCCTGATGTAAAAGTCAAAAGGCCCAGTCCATGGCAGACGGAAGGACGGGGGTGGGAGGGTGGGAGGGAAGGAAGCAAGGAGGGAAATAACTTGAAAGAAACAGAAACTATACAATCAATAACCTAGAGATAAGAAGACACTACAATCAATAAACAAAAACAGGATGTTCTATGAAATATTACTCAGCCATAAAAAGAAACGAAATTGAGCTATTTGTAATGAGGTGCATAGACCTAGAGTCTGTCATACAGAGTGAAGTAAGTCAGAAAGAGAAAGACAAATACCATATGCTAACACATATATATGGAATTTAAGGAAAAAAAATGTCTTGAAGAACCTAGGGGTAAGACAGGAATAAAGACACAGACCTACTAGAGAACGGACTTGAGGATATGGGGAGGGGGAAGGGTGAGCTGTGACAAAGAAAGAGAGAGGCATGGACATATATACACTACCAAACGTAAGGTAGATAGCTAGTAGGAAGCAGCCGCATAGCACAGGGAGATCAGCTCTGCTTTGTGATAAGAGAGAAGAGATATGGGAACATATGTATATGTATAACTGATTCACTTTGTTATAAAGCAGAAACTAACACACCATTGTAAAGCAATTATACCCCAATAAAGATGTGTAAAAAAAAAAAAAAACAGGATGTTCTTTTAAAAGAACAAAAGAAGTACTCTTGGATATTAAAGAAGCTTAGCACAGAAATAAAAAACTAAAGAAGAAGGTTAAGTCAAATTGAAGACATTTCTCTGAAAGCAAAATAAAAAGGAAGGAAGAAAGGAAGGGAGGAAGGGAGGGAGGGAGGGAGGGAGGGAGGGAGGGAAGGTGGGAAGAAAAGTATACTGGAGTGAAAGTATAAGAAAATTACAGAACTTGTCTATAACACCCAAGTTGTGGATAACAAGACTTCCAGAAAGACAGAACAAGGAAACAGAAGGGAGAAAATCTTCAGCACAATAACTTGAAAACATTTTCCCATAGCTGAGGGATAAAAGTTACCAGAATGAAGGTCCCCACTAGACAAGCAGAACAGTAGATGAAAAGAGACCCACACTTCATGCCATTTAAAAAGACTTGGACAATTTTTTTAATTCCTACAAGCTTCTAAAGATGGAAAGAAAAAAGTTACATACAAAGAATAAAAAATTAGAATAAGCTTCTGAACTGAAAACCAGTAACATGGCGCACAGGAGGCAACGGAGCAGAGCGATGCCAACACAGAACTCCACACTGGCCACACCACCAATCACCTTCTCCATCACGCTCACTCTCCAACTTTCTGCCTCTTAAGCGTCCTACCTCAGGAAGCCACTGGAGCAAGTCCTCCACCAAAATGTGAGCATAACAAAGTAGGAGGAAGCCATGGACAAACACGAACGTCGATGCAGAGATGAGGGCATCTCCAGGGCGACAGTGAAAGGAGATTCCAGAACGGGAGCTGCGCGGCAGGACAGGACAGTCGGAGCAACGTGGCTCGTGAGAAAGGAATGTGGAAGGCTGCCGCACCTGCCCAAAGACACTGGACCACCTTTCTAAAGTGATTCACCTCTGTATGGTGTGCACCACCCAAACGAAGAAGTCAGTCAAGAAACACACACACAAGCGATACCACAAACATGAAACTCAACTCTGAAGAAAAGCCAAAGGATGAGAGCAAAGGAACGTCCAGGGGCAACACCATAGGAAAAGGCGTAAGGAGCAACCAGCTCAGAAAAGAAGAAAACAGAGATCTCCAGGAAATCGTATCCCAGAAAGAGAATGTGAAGTCTATGTGACTGACCTTGTGGAAGATTTACTAAAAGGCTATCGGAAAGTATGGGGAAAATAAGCAGCAGGCATAAAAAGAACTAAGAACACGGGATTCAGTGGTCAGAGGAAGGTGACTATCCATCACACTTACCCTGTGCGTCTCTCTACAACGTACTCACCTACTGTCCCATCACCAATGACTTGCTTCTCTCTGCCCCTCACTGGCCTGGAGACCTTGTAGAGGGCCATTTCTCAGCGATCACGTTCCCAAACCCAGTGTAATGCTTGCTACAGCAGTGCACATGAGAGCAAGGATCTTTCTGCGTTTATTCACGTACTGAGTACCTACTCTACATACCTGGCATGCTTCTAGCGAACTATAAGTCAAAGACATACAGACTTTGCTTGGCCTTCAAGAGTCTAAACTATTTTTATTCCTGAGAAAACAAATATTTATTCTATATCCTCACCCTCCCCAAAAGATGAAAAGTTCACCAACGGCTTACAGAATTTCAACAGGCAAGTTATCACTAACGGATTGGTACCCCGAGACATGATGATGCTTTTTGACACGGCATGCATTATGTAATATGAAAAGTGTCAGCCTGGGCGTTAGGGAATCTGGCTTCTGCACGTTATGACATGAGGCCCTTATTGATCAAGCCCAATCTAACTCTCCAGAGTCCTAACATCTCTCAACATCGGTCTCCTAGGAATCCTACACTCCAGCAAAGGTAAGCTACTTCCAGTTTACAGAACACATGTGCCCTCCCTCACACCTCTATGCCATTTGCAGGTCCCTCCACCTGGATATTCCTGCCCTGGCTGAACCAGGATGCACACCTGGAGGGAGCCACGTCCCTCTCTCCTGCACTCCCCCAGCATCCCATCACTGACAGAGGGATCTCTGGAGTGACTGACACATGCCATGCATGGTACCGGGCACTGGAATACGCATCAGTCAACAGGGGAGACATGGCCCTGTCCCCAAGGACCCTTGGGGTGTAGCTTCTGGTTTAACATGCTTACTAGAGTGAATGTTAAATCCTACCCGATCTGTCAGCCTCTCCCTCCACCCAAACAGCAAGATTCTAGGGACAATGGCAGCCTCTTTCAGCTCTGCAGCCTCAGGACCGACACACTATTAAATAAAACCAAAGCTAAGGTCAAAAAAACTCCAGTTAGTGGCAGGAGGTAAGTAACACGTGCTCTTTAGAGGCCCTCTGCCTTTTCTTTTCTTTTCTTTTCTTGTTTGTTTTTGACCTCTTTTCTATTAGAGGAGTACAAACCTGAAAACTCCATTCATTGAAATGCAAGTCTCTTACAACTGGCTTTCTTCTTGCTGTGAAAGGCAAAACACTCCCCAGGTCTGGTTTTTGTTCACCACTATATACCCAATAGTATACACTGTATCAAACACGTAGAGTACTTAATCAATAAACATGTACTCGATGCATGAGTGATAATGCCTGAATAAATGAATGGATACACTAGATTTTGAGTGCCTTATAACTGCTCTTTGCTTCATACTGTATTTTAAGGAGAATTCAAGTAAGTAACAACATTTCATTTTAAGCAACAGGAGGCCTGTTCACTTGTCATGTTAGCAGTGGGAGACTCAGTGCATGCTGAGTTCCAGCACTCCTGTCTATCACATGAGCCAATCTATCTTTATTAAGAACATGAAGCTATGCATTTTAACTATAAAACTGATAAAATATAAGCATAAAAATTTGAACCAGTTCAAATAGAGCAGAAAACTAGATATTTCCCAAACTGTATAATTAAAATACATAAATAAAATCTTTTACTCCAGATAGATAAACAGAAACTAAGCTTGTCTCACTATACAATAAAATACACTGCCAGGTCCCTGAAGATATTTGTAAGATGGATACTCTCTACATTTTGGGCATGAATGGTGTGTTTTATGATGGGTATAAATAGACACCTGGGCTGCTCTGAACCCCTTTCCCTTTCTAACATGCAAACTAAAATTTCCCACCAGTCTCACACTCTAAATCTGTGCTTCACTAACAGGTAAAGTATTTCCTTCCATCACCTTGCTTACAGTGTTCCCATTTCAATGCACAATCCAACGTGGCCAGCTTTCTAACATCCATCTCTCAGTAAGTCTCAATAACAACCCTAACCATCATACAATGACAGCCTTTCTCCTAAGAGCTTTATAAGTACTAGCTCCTCACGCCTCTAGCTGGTTACTATTAGTGTTCCCATTTTACACAGAAGAAAGCTAAGTCTGAAAGAAATTAAGAAATTTTCAAGGTCACACAACAAGCAAGGG